GTCTTCCTCTCCTGAGCCATGGTTTAAAGAAAAAATATATATATACTTACTGGGGAGCAGCATTGTGTTATACCAACTTAAGCCACCGTCTGTGACACTAGCATCCCACATGGGTATTGCCCAACTAATGAACTAGCTCCCTGTAAATGCACCAAGGAAAGCAGCAGAAGATGGCTCAAGTGCTTGGGCCCCTGCACCCATATGGGACATCTGGAAGAAGCTCCCGGCTCCAGCCCTGGTCATTGCAGCCACTGGGGAATGAACCAACAACTGGAAGATTCTCTCTCCATGTGTACCTCCTCTCTCTGCCTCTCAAATAAAAATCTTTTAAATAAAATTAAAATTTAAGAATAGTTACTAGCCATATTGCACCAAGAATTCTGAAGATACATTGGTGAAGTTTTTATTGTTCACTGGCTCCGGTGCTCATGGTGCTATGGGGACAATAATTTCTGAGTTGCCTCTCTTTCATTGCAGGTTCCCTGTGAAACATCTGGAGTCTTCCTGAACATTCTTTATTCTCTGCTTCTTTGCCCAAAAAGGCCCAGGAAGTGTGTTCAGCAAGGGAAGGCCACAGGGTGGGTGAAGAGCTACTTCTTTGCAATAAACCTGATAGCTATGTCCTACTAGTTCTGATTCTCTGAATAAACCCAGACTGATACAGCCATGAACTTTGTATTTATTCTTTTTGCATTAAGTATGATTGACTGAACCTTGATGTGTAAGGGAGAAATTTGTCCACAAACAGACCATTTTAGAATTGAGTGGAGTTCATTGTTTTCATAGCAGAGATGAACAAGTGTGCTCTCAGCTCAGCTTATTGCTGTTTTCCTATTAATCTTTCTCACTTCTACCTTTCAGATGGAAACATGACAGGCACTCACAACACCTTCTTTTGTATTTTAATAAGAAAAACATATTAAGCTACTATGTAAGTAAAAAAAGAGAATACAATTCATGTTTAATTGGCACAACACTAAAAACCTTATATACAAATAAATGCTGCTTCCTATGAATTTATTAGCGGGTTTAGGAAAGCTTTACATTTGGAAATAGAGATGTAGTAGGAAATAATTTCAATCAAACAGAAGCACTCAGTCATCCGATAGAGCCTTGTGTTTTGAGAGATTCCCATACCTATGCACATAATTAAAATGGCTTTATCATCTTAAAAAAAAAGAAATAGAAGCAAGCATTGTCATTGCTTTGTTGCTTGGTTATCTCATTTTAAACGAATCAGTAGGATGGGTGTCCTAGTTTTTCTAGAATTCTTAAAAGATGTTTTATCCTAATAGATTTTGTCAAGTCGCATTTCACTCTTACTCTGAAAACTAAGTAGAACATAGTAACATGCCTTAAGAGCTGATTTGAAAATAAGAACCCAAAGAAAGCCAGATTTGAAACTCAATTCAGATTTTTTAATTTAAATAAAATCATTATTTGTGACAAACTTTTCTAAGATAAATGGAACCTTATTTTTAAAATTCCATTTTAGAATTCAATTTCTTTTGGGAGTTCTTCCTTAATATATTAATACTATGCACAAATAAGCATACCTTTTGATATTTAAATTCAAGGTTGTTTTGTTTCTGTATAAATATCAAGCACTATTTACAAAGAACTAGAACCATAAATATCTTCAAGAAATTTATTATCATTCATCTGCAACAACAAACATGTGCTTTGATATTTTTATTATAAAAATTGAGATTCCAATGAGGAAGGTATAAAGAACTATGATTTTGGAAATAAATTTGAATTTAGCAATTTTTCAAACTTAAACCAAAAAGCATGATAGAATAAAATATCAAGCAAATGAAAATTTTTCTGTGATTGGACATAAATAATTTCATGTAAACAAGAAAAAACATTTTTTGCAAGCATACAAATCCATAGATTAAAAAGGTTATTTTATTTTACTTCATGCTTTCACTTAACATAATTGGCATAAACACAATAATAGGAATTAGAGAAATCTGCGTTTCCTTCAGATTGTTCAGGAAAGTTACAATGAAGAGAGGTCCTGGAAAAAGATAGCTCTAAAAGAAAAATACTAGAGTAATGATACTTTCTCATGATTTTCAATTATGAAGATGCCTTTTTATCGGAGTTTTATCGGAATTTTGCCAGCAGAAAGGAAAGCTGATCCTGGCAAGGCCCAGCACTCACGTGTGGCAGCCAGTAGGCAGGAACACCTGTGGATGCTGCCTCAATTGGATTACTCATGCACAAGGAAGCAAGCGCTTCAATGCAAAAGAAACCTTGTGGGATCAAACAGACAAGGCTGAAACAGGTATATTTTCTACAGGAGCGTTTCCTGAAGTGCACACCAGGGATCACGTGAATGAGAAGCTGGCAGACTGCTCCAGTGCAGAGCTTCTGGGGGCCCAGGGATCTGTAATGTTAACAAGCTCATCTGGAGACATTTAAACACTATTAAAGTTTAAGTATCTCCACTCTATGTGACTTTTCAATTCCCCTCCCTTTAAAAAAAAATCATAAATATGTTTCTTTCATGCTTATTATCCAGAAAGAAAAACAAAACAACAGCAGCAAATTTGATTCTCAGTCGGCAGTGACAAGTAGTAGTGGTATTTATTTTCCCTCAAGAAAATGTGGGGGAATCTGTAACAAACCATTTTGCACCTAAATGTCTTAAAGATATACCATTAGTACTTTGTTTTAAAGGCTTTCAAAATGTGTACATAATAAAAATGTCCAAAATTATTTGTAAACTGTCACCAATATCATCCAGTGTAGAGAACTGCTGTTCCACGTTGCTCATGAGTTCTTAAAGGTGTCCCTAAGTCTTCTTTCAAAAACACCGAGCATTCCAGCAGACACTCCAGAGCTTTCTCCAAAGAGGTACTGCCTCCTCAGCAGCAGAAAAGTAGTAGCTAAAGACTGCTCATCAAGCAAGAAGAGAGGAAACAAAACTCAGTTTTAACTTCAAACATGAAAGGAGTCACGCAAGGTTAGATGAACACAGATCATGCTGACTTTCTTCAGAGAAAGTCTAATCTCAGGTATCCTCATGACTATCTGCTTGAAATCCAGTTTATATGGACAAAGGAAAGCATAACATATCTCACCATGCTACTTTCATCTAATACAGTGTTTATTCCTATAAGATCCCTATGGACAAAATAAATTTTACTGGTGAATAATGTAAATTAGAAATTAAAGAGGTAGGTGACTATCATCAATGACATGTTGAACAAGTTCCAATACAGTTTTCTAAATGGACAGTAAGTTCCAACATAGTTGCAATTGCCTTAAGGGTAGTGTTTGCTAGATTTTTCATAATATCACCACATTGCCAATGTCCTACCTCATAAAATACCATGGCATGAATTCTTCAAAGATTTAATTTTTAAAAATATCCAATAAAGTAAAATGTAAAGAAGTAATACTGGAGACCAAGGAGTGGTGTTGAAGTGAGTTGGGCTCTTCAAAAATCTGTATTCTCATATGAAGAAAAGCACATTACAGTTGGACATGATTTTGGAGATACATCTAGTCCAACTTTCTAGCTTTATCATAAAAGAAACAAAGGCTTATTTTTCCTCCAAAGCACTAAAATCTGGAATAGATGTTACTAATACATGGTTAATCTGTCTATTTAGCCCACAATGTAGCCAAGAGGCAAGACTTCGCTGGCCATCTGCCCTAAGTCTACAGTCCCAGTGCTGTGCAGTGGTGGTGACACAGAGAAGTTGACCAAACACCCTGGATACACCTAAGGTGCAGATAGTCAGCAAGAGAACAATGATTCAAAATCCTAGACCTGCCCCATCACGACTTGTTGTGTGTGGGCTCAAGCCAGGGTTCATCATCCCTTCTTGTAAGAGACATCTCTGAGCACATTCACATTTCGTGCAGCTCTGCTAGAGCAGCTACTGGGGAAACAATGTCATTCTGCCCAAAATATTTAGAAGCAACACAGATGGACAGCTGGAAACCCCAAATCCATAGGGGCAAGAGCTTTTGTTTAAGTTCTCAGCAACTGTCAGTCACTTGTCTTGCAAATTTAAATACTTCAAAGTCTTTTAAATGATGCCTGTGATTTTTTTCTTCCCCATTTCCCAGAATCTATGATAAATTGCTTCATGTTTCTTTGATAATGAAAAAAGAATTCTTGTTTTATTTTAAACAGAAGGTATTAGTCTTAAGAAATTAAAGGATACGCAACTAAACTGAGTGAATGTCTATGTGGCACAGTGGAACAGCAGGGTTTAGAATTCTGACATTTTCAGATTCTGTCTCCATTGTCAACCTTGAGCAGAATTTTAGTCTTTCTGAGATTTGATTTCTTCATATGTTAAAAGAAAAAATTTTCTTAACTCAAGAGGACGCCATGAGGACAATATGATGAACAGTGCTGGACACGTGGTAGTGGTAACTACTTTTACTCTTGGTGCAGAAATCATTAAGAAAAAGGAATCGCCATGGCCTGAGCTAACTCATGCCTGCACTGTCCTTTCAAATCTGTAAGACAGGCTTCTCTGTCTCCTCAATTTTGCCCTACTGCTCTAAAAAGTCACTATTATGCTCAGAATTTTTTTTGTATTTTTATGTTCTCTTCTTTAAAAATGTACATGCAGATGAAACATTTAAAAGCTATATTCCTAGAAATGATACATCATGTTTCCTGAAACATAACATGCCATGTAAAAAAGAATTCTGAAAAATGACTAAATTAATTTGAATATTATTTCTAAAAGTGCACCAAAGTAAATAGTAATGACCTTTAAAATGTCACTGACCTCCTTAGGTTATTTTAAAAAATAAAACTAAATCTTTTTCAACTTAGATATAGGTTTTGGTTCCATGAAGAAGGCAAAAAGCAGCAATGTTTTCCAGAACAGAACCCATAAATACACCTACACATACCTTTAGCAGCATATAAAATGCCTACAAGTCAGTGTAACTGCAGGCTCAATAAACACAATCTTTATTCCTACTGCAAAACTGAACTCAAACACAAACCTATTTCCCCATTCTAAAGCAAGGATTTCTCTTGAATCCTGGAGGTATCCTTTGTGATCACTTTCCTATTGTGCATCATGGGTAACAGAAATGTAACTATTCTTTACATCCTTCTTTACATCTGCGTACACACACACACAAACAATATTTGGAATAATAAAATCTAACTAGAGAAGCTTGTGGAAGAAAACAAAGTCAATTAAGAACAATCCCCAAATGTCATTAGGTTCCAATATTCACACTACCGTCCGATGTTCCCCACACACATAGACAGCACTAGGACGTATCCGTCGCTTTGTGTGACCAGGGAGCTGTGGCAAAAACTTGAAGGACTTGGGCATCATATCCAGGCAGGCATCATGGAATTTCTTAATCCTCCAGTAGTAGATCAAGGGGTTCAATGCAGACTTGAGGTAGCAGAGCCAGAGCAACCAGGTGCTAATCTCAAAAAAGTTGTTTTTATAGTAAAAGTGCTCGCTGAATGTTGCCACAAGGCTGTAAGTGGTGAATGGGGCCCAGCACACAATGAAGACAGCAAAGAGAATCAAAATAGTGGTGAAGGCACGCGTTTTAAACCCCATGTCAATACTCATCTGGAAGGGTCTCTGTAGGCTCATGAGACCAAGCTTGCTGGCCTGGCTGAGGCATATACCTTCAGGGTAGCTGTGGATCCTCAAGGCATTGTGACGCAGGGTGTTGAGGATGCCCATAAATGAATACAGTATTACCAGGAAGGGTATGAAGAAAGAAATGAGTGAAATCAAAATTACATACGTCTGGTAGCCTACATCAGTCGTATATCCAAACACACACTGGGGGGCTCGGGAAGGTATCTGCAGGTCAGGGTTTCCTACAGCCAAAGGAAAAGCTACACAAAACGAAGCTGCCCAAGAAACTGCAATCAGAACCTTGGCCCTATATGGATTTAGCTTATCCTGCCTCTGAACTATAATAAGAAATCTATCAATGCTAATGATAACCAGGATGGCTACGCCCTCTATCACAAACAACCAGAAAAACATAGCAGATACCCTACAGAAAAATTTCCCAAAAATCCATCTGGTAGTAAGAATAGTTATCAGGGCAAAGGGCATGTTCAACACTGCAAGCAACATGTCTGCAAAAGCCAGGCTTGCAAGGAGGATGTTAATTGCAGATCGCATGGCAGCTTTTTGGTAAACCATGAGACAAACTACCAAGTTCCCAAGAAAAGACACAAAGAGAATAAATATCATTATAGCAGAAAGGATGATCTGTAGAGGCAAGTTCAGGCTCTTAAAAACTGCTGGTGTTGGGGGCACAGCCGTGCTATTCACTGTCCAGGAGCTCAAAGCAGCGGGAGCCGTGGTTTCAAAACTGTACCGAAGCAGAGGACTGAGGCTCGGGTGCTGGAGTGGCGGAGGGACTGTAACATTCATGTAGGTGTTTTCATAGACTACAAACGTCGTATTAGACGGCCCAATGTGAGATGCAGTCAATACTGCTGATGAGACCACCATGGTGTCAAGATGGATGATACACGCAGAGATGTGGGGATTCTTCAAACATCTCAAAGGAGAACAGCAGTTTTAGGTTCCATTGATGGGCTTGGAAACACATTCTGGAAAACAGACAAGGTGTTCCATCTTGCATAGGAGTCCTTTCGCCTGAAAACAAGTCCAAAACATGGAAAGTAAGTGAGAAATGAACACTGCAGATATTTTACTTCCACATCATGAAGGATCCGTTTGATGTTTTTTTTAAAATCTTTAAGTATTGAAATTTCTAGCTTAGCATCAAAATATTTTTGTTGTGTTGTTCTTACATCTAGCTGAATATGAGGGAATTCTAGTAAAAAGAATCTCAAAATGTACTACTTCCTTGAAGATAAATGTTAAAACTTGTCAATTTTTAAAAAAATTTCTAGCAGTATCATGGCCTTGCCACAGTCATCATTAATATATTATTTATAGTTTAATAGATGCTTATCCCATTTTTATCTCAGCATAAAACTAGATAGCAAAAATTCTGAAGTCAGTTTCCAAAACAATGTGATAATTATATACTTTTGACCTAAATTCTTATAGGTAAGTACTAGGTTATTTTCAATGAAAGTCTAAAACCATTTTTTGATTATTTTTTCAAAATCTATCTTCGCAGAAATCCACCACCAATAATACTCATGCAGTCACTGCAGAGAAAAAATTACAACTAAAAAACAATGGTCCTATTTTTAAAACTTTTCTTTTTCTGTTTGCATATTCTTTCCTCTCACTTAAACCTGCCCATTTCCATCCTTTTTTTTCTGATAAAGATATGAGAGTATATCAAAAAGTTTCTGTAACATGGAATTAAAACAGAAGTTTATTTTTGTGGGAAAATTCTGAAAGTCAAGTAAGCTTTAAAACGGCCTGTGGAAAATGTATCTCATGAAAACAAAATGCAGGCTTTCAAACTGCTTTTGCACCAACATACTTTATTTACTTATTCATTTGAGACAAAGAGAGGAAATACAGAGAGACAGAGTGCTCTTGTGTCCTGGCTCATGGCAATTCAGGTCTCAGATGAAGGTGGCAGAGACCCAACTCCCTGAGCCATTACCTGCTGCTTCCCAAGATCAACACTGGAAAGAAGCTGAAATTGAGAGCTGGAATTAAGCCCAGGCACTCCACTACGGCACATGAACATCTTAACTGGAATCTTAACTACTAGCTTAAAGGCTTGCCCCAATTTATCTTTCAATTCCATTTTTTTCAAAGGATGATTTATTCTTCAAGAACCCTTATACTTGTGTCTTCTAAACCCTTATACTTCCTCTTCTAAAACTGCTCTTATGTATGTTAGTAATTAACACAAGATGTTAGTCAAATAAAGATGGTGGATGTTAAAGGATCTATATAAGAAAATATTTAAGAATGAAGAATCTATTTCAGAAAATTTCCAAAGACATTGAGCTGTTTTGCTCTAACAAATTTAGCACTCTCTTATTCCTACACCAACTTCTTAACAACTTCTGCAACCTACAACTTTTTGTCTTGTTAGAAAACTGTTTTGTGACATGGATTCTTCCTTCTGTAGGTGTTTACTGAAGGTGAAGCATCTTCCATCAGAGAATGCTCTTTGTAAGCTACACTGATTCATTTAATAAATTTTTTAAAGTTCTGGGCACAATAAATACACAGTTTAAAATAAAACTGAATTTGTTCATTGTTTGAGCTTAAAATCAGTCATTAATTTTAAGGATAAAATTCAGTATTCATTTCCTGACGTGTAAAGGGTGAGAGTATCAGGTTTGTGAGAACCAAGATCTAGCAATGTTGTCAAACCACAGATATCTGTCACACCCGTATCTCCCCATAATCCCCATGTTTATTTCCAAGGCTGCTATTATGAATAAGAATATTGATCCATTTGTTCAAAATATCAACCTCACTAGCTACTGTTTTTATGCATCCTCACATTTTAGCTATGAAATGCAAGACATATTTGGATAAGATACCACACAAAGCCAGTAATTTGCAAATTATACCAATCACAAGGGATCAATAGAAAGGCAAAGTTTACATGCTTTATTCCATAATCACTTCCACAGAACTAAAATAATTACACTGCAAGTAGACAGTGTTTGCTAAGTAAATCATTCTCAAATCAAACTCACCTCTAGATAGCAATCATGAACATTCAAATGTGTACCTTAATTTAGTACAATAGCTAAAACTGAGTTTGATCAATAAAATAAACATATTCATCCTGCAATAGTTCACATTTTAATAAACTGAGTTTGTGTGACCACATCAGGAACAAAACCAAAAAGCAGAATGGAAACAAAGTAAAATTTTAATTTGAAAGATGTTTTGAAAGTACTTATGTTTGCATTATAGAGTGATGATACCTTTTCTGTCATTAAAACTCCTTGACTACAAAACAAACTTAATTCATTCATCAGATATTTATTGAAGAACCTATTGTGTGTCAGGCATAAAGAGAAAAATAATGAGCATATGGTGCCTTCATTTCTTGTCCTTTTTTAAGCAGCCTGTTCATATTTCTGAAATCACACTGAAATGATAGCAAAGTGATTTTTAAAAAATGTACACACACAAAAGAAGTATGAAACATATATTACTAGATAAAAGAGGATCTTTGTAAACATTTTAATGTAAAAAGATCTAGATGGTGATGTGGTGACTGACTCAGCAAAGAAAACAAGTTACCCTCAATACTTTCAAGGAAATAAGCTTTAAAGAATCTGTAACACCGTAGGCTCACAGGGAAGTCCTAGACACCAGCTACGACAGAAGGAGTGAGTGAGTCTGAAAAACAGGAGAGGTGACTGAAATCGGGGCCACTAGAACCCAATTCACATCCAGGTCTTTGCTCTAAGCAATCACGTGAAAGCACAACACCTCCACTTCAGTCTCCCAAGTCTGTGGCACAACCAAACCTGACAAGCAAAATCAAAAATACCAGTGCTGGGCTGAAGACAGGATTGAGTAAACACCTGAAAACTCCAAATGGGGAACTGAGCTCCTCTCTCCTGGACGCCCCCATTCTGCCAGAAGCCAGGTGTCCGCTGCCTTTGCAGAAGACTCAAGAGCTCATACATTCCTGCCACGGAACAGCCCTCTGCGTGGGGGTACAGGAGAGATCACACACTGTGCATCAAAGATAACAACAGAAAAATTCCAGCCTGGTGCTCAGTCATCTTGAGAACTGAATACAGACTGCTATCAATCCCAGACCAAGAACAGAGCTTTTCAGCTTTTCCGTGCAGAATTGGATTAATGATTGTTTCTTTTATATAGACGGAAACAACTTAGGGAGTATTAGATTAGTGATAAGCAAAATGTTTTGTGTGGAATATCACAGAATATCACTGCTGCTAGGGCATTCCCTTAGTCTTTTACAGTATTTTTGCTGTTTATATGATTCTCAGAAAAAAATATTAGATTCTCCCTGAAGGCACAGACTGATTTTCATTCATTTCAGTATTCCCTATGATTAATATGGTTTGCAAAAAAATAATAAATGTTTGGAAAATTAAGATAACTTGCACTGTGTTTTGTGAAATCACAAAGTATATTTTTTAATCATATGTACACACAAAAGTTATTCAAATGAGGTTTTTCTATTTTACTTAAAAAGCACAGAGGCAAAGGAGAACAACCACTTTTCTCCCCAAATGCCTACAGAACTGGGGCTGAGCCAAGCTGATGCCAGGAGCCTGGAACTTAATTTTGTGGTTGGGTATAGAATGGGATAGAGATGGGTGGGAGTTCTGAAGTTCCTGCTCTGAAGAATTCCCTTTGCCTGTCTAATGAACTTACAAACATTGCAAAAACAATCACTAGAGGCCTCACCTGCCTCATGAGACTTTTGCTCTTCCTAAGAAACTTGTCCTACCACCTCTACTGCTTCTATACCTATAAAAACAGTCTGTTAAGTCCCAGTAGAAACCAAAGTGTAGGGCCCAGCACAGTGGCCAAGTGACTAAAGTATTCCTCTTGCATGCACCAGGATCCCATATGGGTGCTGGTTCATATTCTGGCTTCTCACTTCCCTTCCAGCATCCTGTTTGTTGCCTGAGTAAGCAGTAGAGGATGGGCTAAATCCTTGGGACCCTGCACCTACATGAGAGACCATGTGGCCACTTGGAGAGTGAACCAGTAGATGTAAGATCTCTGTCTCTCCTTTCTTTCCAATAAAAAAATAAATCTTAAAAAAAAAAAAAAAGGAAACCAGAGTGTAAATTATAAAGTATGACCTGTAATGAGATACTAGGTACATGAAAAATGCAAAACTTATTTGCACACACACATAGATGTGTGTTTGTGTGTGTACATATACATAAAAATGTTGAATCAGAACAGCAGAAATATTAGATGAAATTCACTGATGCTGGAATATTAACAGAGATTCTGGATTCCATGTGTTAGGTTCAGTTGCTGAAAATGTCTCTAGTAGCTGATGTTATTAGTTGAATGAAGTCTAAACCCACTATGTGAAACTGAGATGCTAAAAATTTCCTCAGTAGTTTACTGTAGTTATACTTCTGGAATAAAATAAGAATATTTTAAAAATAAAACATTCAGAATCTTGTTTGCAAATATCTAGAAGTACCTGAAAAGAAACAAAGTACCTATAAGGGTACAGCTATATTTTAAAATGTAGTGCTCAAAGAGGCAATTTACGCTCTATAAACAAAATCACTTCTTTTCTCCTGAGTTTTGTTAGGAAGTGCAATGTCACTAAAGCTCTTTTTCAAATTTTTAAATTCATTTTAATGCTAGAGAGAGAGAGAGAGAGAGAGAGAGAGAGAGAGAGAGACTCTTCCATCTCATCTACTGTAACACTCCCCATACTGATGGCAATGGCCAGAATTGAGCTAGGCTGATGCCATGAGTGCAGACCTGTACTCAGCTCCCCCATCAAGAAGGCAGCAACCCAAGCATCAGGGCCATCCCTCATTGCTTTATCCAGGATATTAGGAAGAAGATGGATCAAAAGCAGAGCAGATGGGACACAAACCAATCCACATGTGATACCTATGTCACAGGCGATGTCTTTATCCACTATACCACAACACCAGCCCTGCCCTTAGCTCTTTCTTCAATTATATATCCATTAAAAGAATCTATAGCAACTTTAAGAGATGATTATTATTAAA